GTGTCAGTATACATACAGACCTCTGTCTCAGTATACATACTGACTTCTGTCTCAGTATACATACATACCTCTGTCTCAGTATACATACAGACCCCTGTCTCAGTATACATACACACCTCTGTCTCAGTATACATACACACCTCTGTCTCAGTATACATACAGACCTGTCTCAGTATACATACAGACCTGTCTCAGTATACATACAGACCTGTCTCAGTATACATACAGACCTGTCTCAGTATACATACAGACCTCTGTCTCAGTATACACACAGACCTCTGTCTCAGTATACATACAGACCTCTGTCTCAGTATACATACAGACCTCTGTCTCAGTATACATACAGACCTCTGTCTCAGTATACATACAGACCTCTGTCTCAGTATACATACAGACCTGTCTCAGTATACATACAGACCTGTCTCAGTATACATACAGACCTCTGTCTCAGTATACATACAGACCTCTGTCTCAGTATACATACAGACCTCTGTCTCAGTATACATACAGACCTGTCTCAGTATACATACAGACCTGTCTCAGTATACATACAGACCTGTCTCAGTATACATACAGACCTGTCTCAGTATACATACAGACCTCTGTCTCAGTATACATACAGACCTCTGTCTCAGTATACATACAGACCTGTCTCAGTATACATACAGACCTGTCTCAGTATACATACAGACCTGTCTCAGTATACATACAGACCTCTGTCTCAGTATACATACAGACCTGTCTCAGTATACATACAGACCTCTGTCTCAGTATACATACAGACCTCTGTCTCAGTATACATACAGACCTCAGTATACATACAGACCTCTGTCTCAGTATACATACAGACCTCTGTCTCAGTATACATACAGACCTCAGTATACATACAGACCTCAGTATACATACAGACTTCAGTATACATACAGACCTCTGTCTCAGTATACATACAGACCTCTGTCTCAGTATACATACAGACCTCTGTCTCAGTATACATACAGACCTCTGTCTCAGTATACATACAGACCACTGTCTCAGTATACATACAGACTTCTGTCTCAGTATACATACAGACCTCTGTCTCAGTATACATACAGACCTCTGTCTCAGTATACACACAGACCTCTGTCTCAGTATACATACAGACCTGTCTCAGTATACATACAGACCTCTGTCTCAGTATACATACAGACCTGTCTCAGTATACATACAGACCTGTCTCAGTATACATACAGACCTGTCTCAGTATACATACAGACCTCTGTCTCAGTATACATACAGACCTGTCTCAGTATACATACAGACCTCTGTCTCAGTATACATACAGACCTCTGTCTCAGTATACATACAGACCTGTCTCAGTATACATACAGACCTCTGTCTCAGTATACATACAGACCTGTCTCAGTATACATACAGACCTCTGTCTCAGTATACATACAGACCTGTCTCAGTATACATACAGACCTCTGTCTCAGTATACATACAGACCTGTCTCAGTATACATACAGACCTGTCTCAGTATACATACAGACCTGTCTCAGTATACATACAGACCTGTCTCAGTATACATACAGACCCTGTCTCAGTATACATACAGACCTCTGTCTCAGTATACATACAGACCCCTGTCTCAGTATACATACAGACCTCTGTCTCAGTATACACACAGACCTCTGTCTCAGTATACATACAGACCCTGTCTCAGTATACATACAGACCCCTGTCTCAGTATACATACAGACCCTGTCTCAGTATACATACAGACCCCTGTCTCAGTATACATACAGACCTCTGTCTCAGTATACATACAGACCCTGTCTCAGTATACATACAGACCTCTGTCTCAGTATACATACAGACCTCTGTCTCAGTATACATACAGACCCTGTCTCAGTATACATACAGACCTGTCTCAGTATACATACAGACCTCTGTCTCAGTATACATACAGACCTCTGTCTCAGTATACATACAGACCTCTGTCTCAGTATACATACAGACCCTGTCTCAGTATACATACAGACCCTGTCTCAGTATACATACAGACCTCTGTCTCAGTATACATACAGACCTCTGTCTCAGTATACATACAGACCTGTCTCAGTATACATACAGACCTGTCTCAGTATACATACAGACTCTGTCTCAGTATACATACAGCCTCTGTCTCAGTATACATACAGACCTCTGTCTCAGTATACATACAGACCTGTCTCAGTATACATACAGACCTCTGTCTCAGTATACATACAGACCCTGTCTCAGTATACATACAGACCTGTCTCAGTATACATACAGACCTCTGTCTCAGTATACATACAGACCTGTCTCAGTATACATACAGACCTCTGTCTCAGTATACATACAGACCTGTCTCAGTATACATACAGACCTCTGTCTCAGTATACATACAGACCTGTCTCAGTATACATACAGACCTGTCTCAGTATACATACAGACCTGTCTCAGTATACATACAGGACCCTGTCTCAGTATACATACAGACCTGTCTCAGTATACACACAGACCCTGTCTCAGTATACATACAGACTCTGTCTCAGTATACATACAGACCTCTGTCTCAGTATACATACAGACCCTGTCTCAGTATACATACAGACCCTGTCTCAGTATACATACAGACCTCTGTCTCAGTATACATACAGACCTCTGTCTCAGTATACATACAGACCTGTCTCAGTATACATACAGACCTCTGTCTCAGTATACATACAGACCTCTGTCTCAGTATACATACAGACCCTGTCTCAGTATACATACAGACCCCTGTCTCAGTATACATACAGACCTCTGTCTCAGTATACATACAGACCTCTGTCTCAGTATACATACAGACCTCTGTCTCAGTATACATACAGACCTCTGTCTCAGTATACATACAGACCTGTCTCAGTATACATACAGACCCTGTCTCAGTATACATACAGACCTGTCTCAGTATACATACAGACCTCTGTCTCAGTATACATACAGACCTGTCTCAGTATACATACAGACCTCTGTCTCAGTATACATACAGACCTGTCTCAGTATACATACAGACCCTGTCTCAGTATACATACATACCTCTGTCTCAGTATACATACAGACCTCTGTCTCAGTATACATACAGACTTCTGTCTCAGTATACATACAGACTTCTGTCTCAGTATACATACAGACCTGTCTCAGTATACACACAGACCTCTGTCTCAGTATACATACAGACCTGTCTCAGTATACATACAGACCCGTCTCAGTATACATACAGACCTCTGTCTCAGTATACATACAGACCTCTGTCTCAGTATACATACAGACCTGTCTCAGTATACATACAGACCTCTGTCTCAGTATACATACAGACCTCTGTCTCAGTATACATACAGACCTGTCTCAGTATACATACAGACCCTGTCTCAGTATACATACAGACCTCTGTCTCAGTATACATACAGACCTCTGTCTCAGTATACATACAGACCTCTGTCTCAGTATACATACAGACCTCTGTCTCAGTATACATACAGACCTCTGTCTCAGTATACATACAGACCTCTGTCTCAGTATACATACAGACCTCTGTCTCAGTATACATACAGACCTCTGTCTCAGTATACATACAGACCTCTGTCTCAGTATACATACAGACCTGTCTCAGTATACATACAGACCTGTCTCAGTATACATACAGACCTGTCTCAGTATACATACAGACCTGTCTCAGTATACATACAGACCTCTGTCTCAGTATACATACAGACCTGTCTCAGTATACATACAGTACCTCTGTCTCAGTATACATACAGACCCCTGTCTCAGTATACATACAGACCTCTGTCTCAGTATACATACAGACCTCTGTCTCAGTATACATACAGACCTCTGTCTCAGTATACATACAGACCCCTGTCTCAGTATACATACAGACCTGTCTCAGTATACACACAGACCTCTGTCTCAGTATACATACAGACCCCTGTCTCAGTATACATACAGACCCCTGTCTCAGTATACATACATACCTCTGTCTCAGTATACATACAGACCTCTGTCTCAGTATACATACAGACCTCTGTCTCAGTATACATACATACCTCTGTCTCAGTATACATACAGACCTCTGTCTCAGTATACATACAGACCCCTGTCTCAGTATACATACAGACCTGTCTCAGTATACATACAGACCTCTGTCTCAGTATACATACATACCTCTGTCTCAGTATACATACAGACCTCTGTCTCAGTATACATACAGACCTCTGTCTCAGTATACATACAGACCTCTGTCTCAGTATACATACAGACCTCTGTCTCAGTATACATACAGACCTGTCTCAGTATACATACAGACCCCTGTCTCAGTATACATACAGACCCCTGTCTCAGTATACATACAGACCCTGTCTCAGTATACATACAGACCTCTGTCTCAGTATACATACAGACCTCTGTCTCAGTATACATACAGACCTGTCTCAGTATACATACAGACCCCTGTCTCAGTATACATACAGACCTCTGTCTCAGTATACATACAGACCTCTGTCTCAGTATACATACAGACCTCTGTCTCAGTATACATACAGACCTCTGTCTCAGTATACATACAGACCTGTCTCAGTATACATACAGACCTGTCTCAGTATACATACAGACCTCTGTCTCAGTATACATACAGACCCCTGTCTCAGTATACATACAGACCTGTCTCAGTATACATACAGACCTGTCTCAGTATACATACAGACCTGTCTCAGTATACATACAGACCTGTCTCAGTATACATACAGACCTGTCTCAGTATACATACAGACCTGTCTCAGTATACATACAGACCTGTCTCAGTATACATACAGACCTGTCTCAGTATACATACAGACCTGTCTCAGTATACATACAGACCTGTCTCAGTATACATACAGACCTCTGTCTCAGTATACATACAGACCCCTGTCTCAGTATACATACAGACCTGTCTCAGTATACATACTCACCAGTGCAGTCTGACAGCTCCACGTTAGAGAGAGCCTCCACGGTCACTGGAAAAACAAGAGCAGTCTGTCACATCCATGACGTTCTTTAAACATGTGTACAATGTTACATGCATCTTGAGAAAACGCTAAAGGCACGTTCAGACCAAAAGCTTCAAAAAGCTTTTGACGCGCGTTGTTTGACGCTGGGTCCGGTGTGAACGCCTTGGTGCTAGAAGCTCCTGACGCCGATGGGAGGAGCTTCTCTGTTGCACAGAGCAGAGAGCCTTTATTTGTTTTATAAAGCCAAATAACGAGTTCTGGGTTCACCACAGACTGAGGCTGCAGTGTTTGCTGAGTTTCAACGTTTATTCCAGGAGCTGCGTACAGAGGAGTTTCACTTTACTGCAGGAGCTGCGTACAGAGGAGTTTCACTTTACTGCAGGAGCTGCGTACGGAGGAGTTTCACTTTACTGCAGGAGCTGCGTACGGAGGAGTTTCACTTTACTGCAGGAGCTGCGTACGGAGGAGTTTCACTTTACTGCAGGAGCTGCGTACGGAGGAGTTTCACTTTACTGCAGGAGCTGCGTACGGAGGAGTTTCACTTTACTGCAGGAGCTGCGTACGGAGGAGTTTCACTTTACTGCAGGAGCTGCGTACAGAGGAGTTTCACTTTACTGCAGGAGCTGCGTACGGAGGAGTTTCACTTTACTGCAGGAGCTGCGTACAGAGGAGTTTCACTTTACTGCAGGAGCTGCGTACGAGGAGTTTCACTTTACTGCAGGAGCTGCGTACGGAGGAGTTTCACTTTACTGCAGGAGCTGCGTACGAGGAGTTTCACTTTACTGCAGGAGCTGCGTACAGAGGAGTTTCACTTTACTGCAGGAGCTGCGTACGGAGGAGTTTCACTTTACTGCAGGAGCTGCGTACAGAGGAGTTTCACTTTACTGCAGGAGCTGCGTACGGAGGAGTTTCACTTTACTGCAGGAGCTGCGTACGGAGGAGTTTCACTTTACTGCAGGAGCTGCGTACAGAGGAGTTTCACTTTACTGCAGGAGCTGCGTACAGAGGAGTTTCACTTTACTGCAGGAGCTGCGTACAGAGGAGTTTCACTTTACTGCAGGAGCTGCGTACGGAGGAGTTTCACTTTACTGCAGGAGCTGCGTACAGAGGAGTTTCACTTTACTGCAGGAGCTGCGTACAGAGGAGTTTCACTTTACTGCAGGAGCTGCGTACAGAGGAGTTTCACTTTACTGCAGGAGCTGCGTACAGAGGAGTTTCACTTTACTGCAGGAGCTGCGTACAGAGGAGTTTCACTTTCAGCTTTCTCCCCGCCTGGAGCCTCGCTCCTGCCTGGTCTCCCTGCCTGAAGCTAGCCTCGCTCTCGCCTCTCCCCACCTCGCTCTCGCCTCTCGCCCGCCTGTAGCCTCGCCTCTCCCCGCCTGTAACCTCGCCTCTCGCCCGCCTGTAACCTCGCCTCTCGCCCGCCTGTAGCCTCGCCTCTCCCCCGCCTGTAGCCTCGCCTCTCGCCCGCCTGTAGCCTCGCCTCTCGCCCGCCTGTAGCCTCGCCTCTCGCCCGCCTGTAGCCTCGCCTCTCGCCCGCCTGTAGCCTCGCCTCTCGCCCGCCTGTAGCCTCGCCTCTCGCCCGCCTGTAGCCTCGCCTCTCGCCCGCCTGTAGCCTCGCCGCTTGCCCGCCTGTAGCCTCGCCGCCTGTAGCCTTGCCTCTCCCCGCCTGTAGCCTCGCCTCTCCCGCCTGTAGCCTCGCCTCTCCCCCGCCTGTAGCCTCGCCTCTCCCCCGCCTGTAGCCTCGCCTCTCCCCCGCCTGTAGCCTCGCCTCTCCCCCGCCTGTAGCCTCGCCTCTCGCCCGCCTGTAGCCTCGCCTCTCGCCCGCCTGTAGCCTCGCTTCTTCCCGGCTGTAGCCTCGCCGCTCGCCTCTCCCCGCCTGTAGCCTCGCCTCTCCCCCGCCTGTAGCCTCGCCTCTCCCCCGCCTGTAGCCTCGCCTCTCCCCGCCTGTAGCCTCGCCTCTCCCCGCCTGTAGCCTCGCATCTCGCCCGCCTGTAGCCTCGCATCTCCCCGCCTGTAGCCTCGCTTCTCCCCGGCTGTAGCCTCGCCGCTCGCCTCTCCCCCGCCTGTAGCCTCGCCTCTCCCCCGCCTGTAGCCTCGCCTCTCGCCTCGCCTCTCGCCCGCCTGTAGCCTCGCCTCTCGCCCGCCTGTAGCCTCGCCTCTCGCCCGCCTGTAGCCTCGCCTCTCGCCCGCCTGTAGCCTCGCCTCTCGCCTCGCCTCTCGCCCGCCTGTAGCCTCGCCTCTCGCCCGCCTGTAGCCTCGCCTCTCGCCCGCCTGTAGCCTCGCCTCTCGCCCGCCTGTAGCCTCGCCTCTCGCCCGCCTGTAGCCTCGCCTCTCGCCCGCCTGTAGCCTCGCCGCTCGCCCGCCTGTAGCCTCGCCGCTCGCCCGCCTGTAGCCTCGCCGCTCGCCCGCCTGTAGCCTCGCCTCTCGCCCGCCTGTAGCCTCGCCTCTCGCCCGCCTGTAGCCTCGCCTCTCGCCCGCCTGTAGCCTCGCCTCTCGCCCGCCTGTAGCCTCGCCTCTCGCCCGCCTGTAGCCTCGCCTCTCGCCCGCCTGTAGCCTCGCCTCTCGCCCGCCTGTAGCCTCGCCTCTCGCCCGCCTGTAGCCTCGCCTCTCGCCCGCCTGTAGCCTCGCCGCTTGCCCGCCTGTAGCCTCGCCGCCTGTAGCCTTGCCTCTCCCCGCCTGTAGCCTCGCCTCTCCCGCCTGTAGCCTCGCCTCTCCCCCGCCTGTAGCCTCGCCTCTCCCCCGCCTGTAGCCTCGCCTCTCCCCCGCCTGTAGCCTCGCCTCTCCCCCCGCCTGTAGCCTCGCCTCTCGCCCGCCTGTAGCCTCGCCTCTCGCCCGCCTGTAGCCTCGCTTCTCCCCGGCTGTAGCCTCGCCGCTCGCCTCTCCCCGCCTGTAGCCTCGCCTCTCCCCCGCCTGTAGCCTCGCCTCTCCCCCGCCTGTAGCCTCGCCTCTCGCCCGCCTGTAGCCTCGCCTCTCGCCCGCCTGTAGCCTCGCTTCTCCCCGGCTGTAGCCCCGCCGCCTGTAGCCCCGCCTGTAGCCTCGCCTCTCCCCCGCCTGTAGCCTCGCCTCTCGCCTCGCCTCTCGCCCGCCTGTAGCCTCGCCTCTCGCCCGCCTGTAGCCTCGCCTCTCCCCCGCCTGTAGCCTCGCCTCTCGCCCGCCTGTAGCCTCGCCTCTCGCCCGCCTGTAGCCTCGCTTCTCCCCGGCTGTAGCCTCGCCGCTCGCCTCTCCCCCGCCTGTAGCCTCGCCTCTCCCCCGCCTGTAGCCTCGCCTCTCGCCTCGCCTCTCGCCCGCCTGTAGCCTCGCCTCTCGCCCGCCTGTAGCCTCGCCTCTCGCCCGCCTGTAGCCTCGCCTCTCGCCCGCCTGTAGCCTCGCCTCTCGCCTCGCTCTCGCCCGCCTGTAACCTCGCCTCTCGCCCGCCTGTAGCCTCGCCTCTCGCCCGCCTGTAGCCTCGCCTCTCGCCCGCCTGTAGCCTCGCCTCTCGCCCGCCTGTAGCCTCGCCTCTCGCCCGCCTGTAGCCTCGCCGCTCGCCCGCCTGTAGCCTCGCCGCTCGCCCGCCTGTAGCCTCGCCGCTCGCCCGCCTGTAGCCTCGCCGCTCGCCCGCCTGTAGCCTCGCCTCTCGCCCGCCTGTAGCCTCGCCTCTCGCCCGCCTGTAGCCTCGCCTCTCGCCCGCCTGTAGCCTCGCCTCTCGCCCGCCTGTAGCCTCGCCTCTCGCCCGCCTGTAGCCTCGCCTCTCGCCCGCCTGTAGCCTCGCCGCTTGCCCGCCTGTAGCCTCGCCGCCTGTAGCCTTGCCTCTCCCCGCCTGTAGCCTCGCCTCTCCCGCCTGTAGCCTCGCCTCTCCCCACCTCTCGCTCTCGCCTCTCCCCCGCCTGTAGCCTCGCCTCTCGCCCGCCTGTAGCCTCGCCTCTCCCCCGCCTGTAGCCTCGCCTCTCCCCCGCCTGTAGCCTCGCCTCTCCCCCCGCCTGTAGCCTCGCCTCTCGCCCGCCTGTAGCCTCGCCTCTCGCCCCGCTTAGCCTCGGCTGTACCTCGCCCTCGCTGTAGCCCCGCCGCTCGCCTCTCCCCCGCCTGTAGCCTCGCCTCTCCCCCGCCTGTAGCCTCGCCTCTCCCCCGCCTGTAGCCTCGCCTCTCGCCCGCCTGTAGCCTCGCCTCTCGCCCGCCTGTAGCCTCGCTTCTCCCCGGCTGTAGCCTCGCCGCTCGCCTCTCCCCCGCCTGTAGCCTCGCCTCTCCCCCGCCTGTAGCCTCGCCTCTCGCCTCGCCTCTCGCCCGCCTGTAACCTCGCCTCTTGCCCGCCTGTAGCCTCGCCTCTCGCCCGCCTGTAGCCTCGCCTCTCGCCCGCCTGTAGCCTCGCCTCTCGCCCGCCTGTAGCCTCGCCTCTCGCCCGCCTGTAACCTCGCCTCTCGCCCGCCTGTAGCCTCGCCTCTCGCCCGCCTGTAGCCTCGCCTCTCGCCCGCCTGTAGCCTCGCCTCTCGCCTCGCCTCTCGCCCGCCTGTAACCTCGCCTCTCGCCCGCCTGTAGCCTCGCCTCTCGCCCGCCTGTAGCCTCGCCTCTCGCCCGCCTGTAGCCTCGCCGCTCGCCCGCCTGTAGCCTCGCCGCTCGCCCGCCTGTAGCCTCGCCGCTCGCCCGCCTGTAGCCTCGCCGCTCGCCCGCCTGTAGCCTCGCCTCTCGCCCGCCTGTAGCCTCGCCTCTCCCCCGCCTGTAGCCTCGCCTCTCGCCCGCCTGTAGCCTCGCCTCTCCCCGCCTGTAGCCTCGCCGCTCGCCCGCCTGTAGCCTCGCCGCTCGCCCGCCTGTAGCCTCGCCGCTCGCCCGCCTGTAGCCTCGCCTCTCGCCCGCCTGTAGCCTCGCCTCTCGCCCGCCTGTAGCCTCGCCTCTCCCCCGCCTGTAGCCTCGCCTCTCGCCCGCCTGTAGCCTCGCCGCTCGCCCGCCTGTAGCCTCGCCGCTCGCCCGCCTGTAGCCTCGCCTCTCGCCCGCCTGTAACCTCGCCTCTCCCCCGCCTGTAGTCTCGCCTCTCGCCCGCCTGTAGCCTCGCCGCTCGCCCGCCTGTAGCCTCGCCGCTCGCCCGCCTGTAGCCTCGCCTCTCGCCCGCCTGTAGCCTCGCCTCTCGCCCGCCTGTAGCCTCGCCTCTCGCCCGCCTGTAGCCTCGCCTCTCGCCCGCCTGTAGCCTCGCCTCTCGCCCGCCTGTAGCCTCGCCTCTCGCCCGCCTGTAGCCTCGCCGCTCGCCCGCCTGTAGCCTCGCCGCTCGCCCGCCTGTAGCCTCGCCTCTCGCCCGCCTGTAACCTCGCCTCTCCCCCGCCTGTAGTCTCGCCTCTCGCCCGCCTGTAGCCTCGCCGCTCGCCCGCCTGTAGCCTCGCCGCTCGCCTCTCCCCGCCTGGAGCAGCCTTGCTCTGAGCCAGACTCATCGTCAGCTTGTTGTTATAATAAATAAATGACGTTTACTTCACAGCATGTGTACAATGGTTTTGTTACTCACTGATTAAGAACGTTACTACTCAGTAATATTATTTGTATAATAATAATAATGACAATAAAACAGCAGCAGCTACATGACTTCTTTCCATGACAGAGACAGACCCTCTGCTGCTGCTCCTAGTCTCCTGATTGGTTGAAGCCCAGGGTCAAGCTTCAAAAGCTGAGCTTTGCTCAACTTCAGCGTCACAAAAAACAAAAATATTGTTTGGCTTTTGCTTAACAGATCTGAGTTAGGGCATAGGTAAGAATCACATCAGTATTGAATATTTCACCTTTGAAATAAACTTGATACAAAAGAACAATTATCAAAAAGCGGCCCTCAACATTCAGTATAACGATAAGAAAAGAGTACATAAGAGTCAGTACATAACTGAATGACCACAAAAAGCCAGTACTTAACCAGTGAGTGAACTCTGTAAATGTAAACTCCCAAGGTATTTAACAAATCTGATAATATCCGAACCTTACAAAATACCCATATCGGCCCGATACCGATACTGAATATCGGATCAGTACATCCCTACCACAGAGGCCCCAGGTCCTCACCACAGAAGCCCCAGGTCCTCATCACCAGCCACCAATCAGAGACCAGCGCCTCTCTCACTTCATCCAATCAGAGACCAGCGCCTCTCTCACTTCATCCAATCAGCACAGGGCCAACCCAGACTAACGGCGACCGGGGAGAGGCAACTTCATCCTGGATTCTTCCTTCCCACAGTGGCCTCTCACTACTCCCCCGGACACGTCCCTCTACCAACCCCCACACCCGGACATGTGGAGCGCTCACAGCCGGTAACGTGGCTCTGGCGCGGCTACATCACCCAGCCCTCAGTCCAGGAGGCTACGGCGTCCGAATTCACAAAACCACGAATATCTTTACCTTTAGAAAATAGCTTTTATGGAGATGGTGAAGCTCAAAGTGTGTGCAAATGAGATATACAACATCTTTGTATATTAATACAAATTTACGTCCAACTTGATTTGTTAGAAAGGTGATTAGAGATGAGGAGGAAGGACTAGGACGAGGCATTTGTGTTGAATTCGGACGCAGACAGACGAAGCTCCTGCAAAGGTTCAATATCTGTAAACTCCTAACGTTCACCAAATTAACAAGTTTTAACTTTAGATAAACTTTATATATGGTGTTAATGAATAAGTGGAAAAGAATACATGTGTAAAACAGCGTGACACGGGTAGTAAAGTTATGGCATATGTGAGAAGAGGGAGAACATGCTTTGCTAACACACCGCTAGCATGTACTCACGCCGCGGCTAGCGGTGTGTTAGCGGCGTGGACGCGGGGCTCACCCTCCACACACGCGGGGAAACACGGTACGAACTCGGCCGCGTTCACATTGGGCACGAAGGGCTTGGCGTTCACGTTGAGAGCGGGTGGTCCCAGCAGATCCTCGTCTTGCTCCCACGAGTCGGGGGCACAGTCACTCGGGTCCATGATCGCGGTGTTTGTCCCGGTAGAGAGCGCGGTGGCCCCGGTCCACGCGGTCCCCTGCTCCCGGTGAGTGTCCGGGGTGTGTTTCGGTAAATAAAAGCCCAAACCGGTCACTTCTACGGCTCGCAGTCACAGAGCTCCGGAGCCGCGTGAGCTGATGCAGGGGTCCAGGCGAGCGTGGTGGCTGCTGGGAAGTGTAGTCCCGCGAGAGGAGCCTGTCTAGTTTCAAACTTTTCTCAGAGAAACTAAACACTTTTAAAAACTGTTTATAGAGCCGTGTGAGTAAACTCAGAAGCCACGAATGTGCGAGGAGGAAATAGGACAGCGGTATGGGGTTTGAATTCGGATGCTCCCAGTCCATATTACGCGTAGAGAACTACATTTCCCATCGGCCCCGGCGCATGTCAACACGGTCTGACCTTTCCCGGAACCGCACTTTTGACTCACGTTTTTGTAAAGTGCAGTCATCTTAAGAACAATCAACTTTTGTACCTCCTTCTAACTATAGACGCGTTCATGGTTCTGCTCATTGTTTTTGTTAAACTAACATGTTATTTGTCCCGAAAGAAACTAAGTCTAAACCATAAGTTAGAATCAGACCACATGTTATTTTCTTTAATATTTAATATACCACATGTATTGACTCTTAGGGCTGAGCGCTGATTGGCTGAGCGCTGATTGGCTGAAGGAGGATCCTCTCTCTTTTACTTTCCTGTCTGAAAGAAAAGATTGACAGCTGTTTGTGTCTCTAAGTGTGTGGACCCAGAGTGCACTTAAGGACAGTAGTAAGTAGCAGAGTGTGTAGTGTTTATTTATATAGCGCCTTTCGCCCAGTCAGTTGTGTGTGTGAGTATATTTCTACGGTTTAGTGACTTCTGCAAACACGCTCAGGCGACTCATTAACTACACACACACATTTCTCTCATTCTTGTATTGAAAAAGAACAATCATTTGTATAAAATCCTTCAATCAAACATCTTACACATTCCTAAACCCAAAAATAGTTTAAATAAATAATTTGCTTTTGAATCATGTCATTAATAATTATTAGAACAAATAACACAGAATGTAAACAAATCAAACCATTGGATAATATTGTTCCAGTGTTGTGGACGTGTGATATATTTATTAGGCACAGTAAATATGGAGTGTTTCAAGTGGACAGGTTTAAATTAAATACAAAAATAGTGCAAATCATTTAGTTGTAATGATGTGGAAAACTAGTCTCTTAAAGTGATTGTCTGGAGTTTGTCAGAAAGAGAGAGAGGTGCTTGATTAGAAAAAAACGACGCAAGCTCCTCCCCCTCCTTTCTGATTGGTCTACGCCTACGTTTCCGTAACACTTAAATGTTAATCTGAGAAAACATACATGTACATTATTAATACACATGCACAGAGGTTTTCAGAATTATTTGTTAACGTTTTATTGAAAAAAATAATGTTTTTATGCACAAAAAAAGCGATCGCGGCAAACCAGGAAGTGCTATTATCACTTCCTGGTGATTGTGCTAGTATTGTGTTACTGCACAATATAGGACACATCTGTAGAGGATCTGATTATGGATATAGGTTCAGTATCTGGGCTTGTTCACACTAAAGGGCACAAAAGTGTGACAAAAGGCATTTTATTTTAATAATCCTAAGATGTTTAATGTTTTTCATGTTTCCAACACCTCCTCTGTTCATTAGAAGTCTCTAGAACAAAACTGTTTTATACATTAGACAAGTTTCCTACAGCGGCCCTGTTTATTTTATGTAACGGACGATGATTTGACGGAATTAACTTTGTGGAAGTTTGTTACTTATTTTCAGATGTCCACATTTGATTCAGAGATTCTCTTTTTTTACACAAAGTAGATGCAAAGTGATACTTTCATATTGTCAACCAATTAAATGTGAAAACAGACCAGATTTTTTTTTAAGTTTAATATTTAGAGAAAAGAGGACCGTCCTCATCACGTCCGTTACACATTTTTCAGGGGTCATTTAATTAATAATTTTTATTTTTTCACGATTCCTTTTTATATCAAGTGATTCCCTTCTGTTGTGTTCATGTAAATCTGTGGGATTTCATCTTCTGCTTTTTCAGACTGAGGACATTTTATTTTCTATGTAACTGGCGTCACAGTAGAATGGTCCAATCAGAGGCTCATTTGGTCGTTTAAAATGTTGCTAAACATTTTTATGTCAATCTTTCCTTTTGATTTTTTCCACACTATCTCTTCAATGTGTCTGGAAAAAAGATTTCAAACACAATCTATGAAAGTAATTTTAGTTTTTAAGTTATAACCTTTTAAAGTCCAGATACTTCAATTGTCACTTTACTGTGAACACACTCATATACATAAGTACCTCAGCGCAGATGTTCAGAATTCTTTGTTCAGTTTTCATGTAGTTCCAGAGCCTAATAGAGGCTCCGCGAAACCAAACAACTGAGCATGAGCAGCTGCGATCATCAGCGCCGATGATTGACAGCCCTTGGCAGGACTCGATTGGTTAACGTGGACGGCATCGTGGATTCTGAGCTATAGCTTAGAGAAGGGAAGGCGGGACTTGTCTGTAATATTAGAATTAATAAAATGACTTATTTTTGATCAACATTTAAGGCCAGGAGGTCAATTTAACACATTTCCTAAAATTTGTAATTCATTTAGAGTTACAGACTATCACTTTAACTAAAATTATGTGTCGCTCTTTTCAGTGACACAAAACCCTGTTCCTCTGATGTGAGGCTTTGAAGAGGATCCAGAACAGAGACCATGTAGACTGGATCCAGAACAGAGACCATGTAGACTGGATCCAGAACAGAGACCTTGTAGACTGGATCCAGAACAGAGACCATGTAGACTGGATCCAGAACAGAGACCATGTAGACTGGATCCAGAACAGAGACCATGTAGACTGGATCCAGAACAGAGACCATGTAGACTGGATCCAGACTATGTTTGGAGCTGATGCTTTAGTGTTTATGAATGAATCTGTAAATAACTCTGAAAAATGGTCTTTTGACTCTGTTTTAGCAGCTGTTGGAGACTGGTTTATTGTCAAAATCAATGAAGTCGAATGAGTCATGGAAGCTAACGGTGAAGCTAACGACGACGCTAACGGCGAAGCTAACGACGACGCTAACGGCGAAGCTAACGGCAAAGCTAATGGCAAAGCTAACAGTATTGTGTCATACAGCATTTAGGCTATAGCATACGCTAACAGTGGCGTACGCTAACAGTGGCGTATGCTAACAGTGGCCTCACAGTGAAAGGACAGGGTTCTGTGTATGTGTCTGTGACATCAGAATGGGGGGTTTTGATGAAGAACAAAGTAATGACACAGTTAAAACTCAGAAAAACATAATTTTGCATAATATTTCTATGTTACATTGTAAAAATAAGTTAATTTTGATCCGACAGCGTTTCACTGATTTGAAAGTGTTATTGCTGTCGCTGGGACTGTAGCTGGGACTGTAGCTGGGACTGTAGCTGGGACTGTAGCTGGGACTGTAGCTGGGACTGAAGCTGGGACTGTAGCAGGGACTGTAGCTGGGACTGTAGCTGGGACTGAAGCTGGGACTGTAGCTGGGACTGTAGCTGGGACTGTAGCTGGGACTGAAGCTGGGACTGTAGCTGGGACTGTAGCGGGGACTGTAGCTGGGACTGTAGCAGGGACTGTAGCTGGGACTGTAGCTGGGACTGTAGCTGGGACTGTAGCTGGGACTGTAGCTGGGACTGTAGCTGGGACTGTAGCTGGGACTGTAGCTGGGACTGTAGCTGGGACTGTAGCTGGGACTGTAGCTGGGACTGTAGCTGGGACTGTAGCAGGGACTGTACCTGGGACTGTAGCGGGGACTGTAGCTGGGACTGTAGCTGGGACTGTAGCAGGGACTGTACCTGGGACTGTAGCGGGGACTGTAGCTGGGACTGTAGCAGGGACTGTAGCAGGGACTGTACCTGGGACTGTAGCTGGGACTGTAGCAGGGACTGTAGCAGGGACTGTACCTGGGACTGTAGCTGGGACTGTAGCAGGGACTGTAGCAGGGACTGTACCTGGGACTGTACCTGGGACTGTAGCTGGGACTGAAGCTGGGACTGTAGCAGGGACTGTAGCTGGGACTGTAGCTGGGACTGTACCTGGGACTGTAGCTGGGACTGTAGCTGGGACTGTAGCAGGGACTGTACCTGGGACTGTACCTGGGACTGTAGCGGGGACTGTAGCGGGGACTGTAGCTGGGACTGTAGCAGGGACTGTACCTGGGACTGTAGCTGGGACTGTAGCTGGGACTGTAGCAGGGACTGTACCTGGGACTGTAGCAGGGACTGTAGCTGGGACTGTAGCGGGGACTGTAGCGGGGACTGTAGCTGGGACTGTAGCAGGGACTGTACCTGGGACTGTAGCTGGGACTGAAGCTGGGACTGTAGCAGGGACTGTAGCTGGGACTGTAGCTGGGACTGAAGCTGGGACTGTAGCGGGGACTGTAGCAGGGACTGTAGCAGGGACTGTAGCAGGGACTGTAGCTGGGACTGTAGCAGGGACTGTAGCAGGGACTGTACCTGGGACTGTAGCTGGGACTGAAGCTGGGACTGTAGCAGGGACTGTAGCAGGGACTGTAGCGGGGACTGTAGCTGGGACTGTAGCGGGGACTGTAGCAGGGACTGTAGCAGGGACTGTAGCAGGGACTGTAGCTGGGACTGTAGCTGGGACTGTAGCTGGGACTGTAGCGGGGACTTGTAGCGCGGGGACTGTAGCTGGGACTGTAGCTGGGACTGTAGCTGGGACTGTACCTGGGACTGTAGCAGGGACTGTACCTGGGACTGTAGCTGGGACTGTAGCTGGGACTGTAGCTGGGACTGTAGCTGGGACTGTAGCAGGGACTGTAGCTGGGACTGTACCTGGGACTGTAGCTGGGACTGTAGCTGGGACTGAAGCTGGGACTGTAGCGGGGACTGTAGCAGGGACTGTAGCAGGGACTGTAGCAGGGACTGTAGCTGGGACTGTAGCTGGGACTGTACCTGGGACTGTACCTGGGACTGTAGCTGGGACTGTAGCGGGGACTGTAGCGGGGACTGTACCTGGGACTGTAGCTGGGACTGAAGCTGGGACTGAAGCTGGGACTGTAGCTGGGACTGAAGCTGGGACTGTAGCTGGGACTGTACCTGGGACTGTACCTGGGACTGTACCTGGGACTGTACCTGGGACTGTAGCTGGGACTGTAGCTGGGACTGTAGCTGGGACTATAGCGGGGACTGTAGCGGGGACTGTAGCGGGGACTGTAGCGGGGACTGTACCTGGGACTGTACCTGGGACTGTAGCTGGGACTGTAGCGGGGACTGTAGCGGGGACTGTACCTGGGACTGTACCTGGGACTGTAGCGGGGACTGTACCTGGGACTGTAGATTGTGAAACTGTAGATTGTGAAACTGCTAACCATGTGTCATGTGTACTGTTTGTGTTTCTATGGTAACCAGCTCTTCTCTGGTGCAGACCTTAGATGTTTTAAAGCTTTATAAATGTGCTTTTGTGTTCTTCAAAACTCCTGGAGCCAGAGCAGAGCCTCCTCCTCCTCCCTCACCTCCTCCTCACTCACCTCCTCTCTCCTCCTCCTCCTCTCTCACTTTCTCCTCCTCCTCACTCACCTCCCCTATCTCCTCCGCTCGCCTACTGCTCTTGCCTCCTCCTCCCTCTCCTCCTCCTCCTCCTCCTGAAGCCACACACAGACAGCCCTATCTGCCCTCTGCTTCCACCTGCTGGTCTGCTGAGGACACTGCAGCCTCCCCCACACTCTCAGCTGGGACAGAGGGACTCTCCTCAGGCTCCTTGGGCTCCTTCGGCTCCTCAGACTCCTTAGGCTCCTCAGACTCCTTAGGCTCCTCAGGCTTCTTAGGCTCCTCAGGCTCAGTGGGGGCCCCTGGGGGTCTCTCTGCAGTGCTCAGACTCAGCTCCTCAGCCTGATCCATGGAGCTGGTCTCACTGAAGGAGTCTCCAACAGAACGACGGAACATCTTCTGACCTGAAACAAACAGTTTGTGAGGACAGTGGCTCTTTGCAAATGGAGGTCCAGAGGACCTCTGAAGACCATGAGGACCTCTGAAGACCATGAGGACCTCTGAAGACCATGAGGACCTCTGAAGACCATGAGGACCTCTGAAGACCATGAGGACCTCTGAAGACCATGAGGACCTCTGAAGATCATGAGGACCTCTGAAGACCATGAGGACCTCTGAGGACCATAAGGTCCTCCCTCTGAGGACCATAAGAACCTCTGAAGACCATAAGGATCTCTGAGGACCATAAAGACCTCCCTCTGAGGACCATAAGAACCTTTGAGGACCATAAGGACCTTTGAGGACCATAAGGACCTTTGAGGACCATAAGGACCTTTGAGGACCATAAGGACCTTTGAGGACCATAAGGACCTTTGAGGACCATAAGGACCTGTGCTGGTCCCACAGGGAAATGTCAGTGTTGCATTGTTACAGAAGAGTAGACCTTTACAATAGTTATTCTTGGGCAGAATGAGGATAAGAACTATTCTGCTAAAGGTTTAGTTTAGTATCAAGAAAACCAATGACTGAGAATCGAACTCTTTGTTAGTCCTCAGAGACGCTTCTGTTTCAGGGTGACACTCTAATGGGTCTAATGCTAACCTGGGGGCACACAGAGCGTGTTGGGGTCGGAACTCTCTAATGCTAACCTGGGGGCACACAGAGCGTGTTGGGGTCGGAACTCTCTAATGCTAACCTGGGGGCACACAGAGCGTGTTGGGGTCGGAACTCTCTAATGCTAACCTGGGTGCACACAGAGCGTGTTGGGGTCGGAGCCCTCTAATGCTAACCTGGGTGCACACAGAGCGTGTTGGGGTCGGGGCCCTCTAATGCCAAACTGGGTGCACACAGAGCGTGTTGGGGTTGGGGTCCTCTAATGTCAAACTGGGTGCAGTCTCTTCACACAGAGCGTGTTGGGGTCGGGGCCCTCTAATGCTAACCTGGGTGCAGTCTCTTCACACAGAGCGTGTTGGGGTCGGGGCCCTCTAATGCTAACCTGGGTGCAGTCTCTTCACACAGAGCGTGTTGGGGTCAGGGCCCTCTAATGCTAACCTGGGTGCAGTCTCTTCACACAGAGCGTGTTGGGGTCGGGGCCCTCTTATGCTAACCTGGGTGCAGTCTCTTCACACAGAGCGTGTTGGGGTTGGGGCCCTCTAATGTCAAACTGGGTGCAGTCTCTTCACACAGAGCGTGTTGGGGTCAGGGCCCTCTAATGCTAACCTGGGTGCAGTCTCTTCACACAGAGCGTGTTGGGGTCGGGGCCCTCTAATGCTAACCTGGGTGCAGTCTCTTCACACAGAGCGTGTTGGGGTTGGGGCCCTCTTATGCTAACCTGGGTGCAGTCTCTTCACACAGAGCGTGTTGGGGTCAGGGCCCTCTAATGCTAACCTGGGTGCAGTCTCTTCACACAGAGCGTGTTGGGGTCAGGGCCCTCTAATGCTAACCTGGGTGCAGTCTCTTCACACAGAGCGTGTTGGGGTCGGGGCCCTCTAATGCTAACCTGGGTGCAGTCTCTTCACACAGAGCGTGTTGGGGTCAGGGCCCTCTAATGCTAACCTGGGTGCAGTCTCTTCACACAGAGCGTGTTGGGGTCGGGGCCCTCTAATGCTAACCTGGGTGCAGTCTCTTCACACAGAGCGTGTTGGGGTCAGGGCCCTCTAATGCTAACCTGGGTGCAGTCTCTTCACACAGAGCGTGTTGGGGTCAGGGCCCTCTAATGCTAACCTGGGTGCAGTCTCTTCACACAGAGCGTGTTGGGGTCAGGGCCCTCTAATGCTAACCTGGGTGCAGTCTCTTCACACAGAGCGTGTTGGGGTCGGGGCCCTCTTATGCTAACCTGGGTGCAGTCTCTTCACACAGAGCGTGTTGGGGTCAGGGCCCTCTAATGCTAACCTGGGTGCAGTCTCTTCACACAGAGCGTGTTGGGGTCAGGGCCCTCTAATGCTAACCTGGGTGCAGTCTCTTCACACAGAGCGTGTTGGGGTCGGGGCCCTCTAATGCTAACCTGGGTGCAGTCTCTTCACACAGAGCGTGTTGGGGTCAGGGCCCTCTAATGCTAACCTGGGTGCAGTCTCTTCACACAGAGCGTGTTGGGGTCGGGGCCCTCTAATGCTAACCTGGGTGCAGTCTCTTCACACAGAGCGTGTTGGGGTCGGGGTCCTCTAATGCTAACCTGGGTGCAGTCTCTTCACACAGAGCGTGTTGGGGTCAGGGCCCTCTAATGCTAACCTGGGTGCAGTCTCTTCACACAGAGCGTGTTGGGGTCGGGGCCCTCTAATGCTAACCTGGGTGCAGTCTCTTCACACAGAGCGTGTTGGGGTCAGGGCCCTCTAATGCTAGCCTGGGTGCAGTCTCTTCACACAGAGCGTGTTGGGGTCAGGGCCCTCTAATGCTAACCTGGGTGCAGTCTCTTCACACAGAGCGTGTTGGGGTCGGGGCCCTCTAATGCTAACCTGGGTGCAGTCTCTTCACACAGAGCGTGTTGGGGTCGGAGCCCTCTAATGCTAACCTGGGTGCAGTCTCTTCACACAGAGCGTGTTGGGGTCAGAGCCCTCTAATGCTAACCTGGGTGCAGTCTCTTCACACAGAGCGTGTTGGGGTCGGGGTCCTCTAATGCTAACCTGGGTGCAGTCTCTTCACACAGAGCGTGTTGGGGTCGGGGCCCTCTAATGCTAACCTGGGTGCAGTCTCTTCACACAGAGCGTGTTGGGGTCGGGGCCCTCTAATGCTAACCTGGGTGCAGTCTCTTCACACAGAGCGTGTTGGGGTCGGGGCCCTCTAATGCTAACCTGGGTGCAGTCTCTTCACACAGAGCGTGTTGGGGTCAGGGCCCTCTAATGCTAACCTGGGTGCAGTCTCTTCACACAGAGCGTGTTGGGGTCAGGGCCCTCTAATGCTAACCTGGGTGCAGTCTCTTCACACAGAGCGTGTTGGGGTCGGAGCCCTCTAATGCTAACCTGGGTGCAGTCTCTTCACACAGAGCGTGTTGGGGTCGGGGCCCTCTAATGCTAACCTGGGTGCAGTCTCTTCACACAGAGCGTGTTGGGGTCGGGGCCCTCTAATGCTAACCTGGGTGCAGTCTCTTCACACAGAGCGTGTTGGGGTCGGGGCCCTCTAATGCTAACCTGGGTGCAGTCTCTTCACACAGAGCGTGTTGGGGTCGGGGCCCTCTAATGTCAAACTGGGTGCAGTCTCTTCACACAGAGCGTGTTGGGGTCAGGGCCCTCTAATGCTAACCTGGGTGCAGTCTCTTCACACAGAGCGTGTTGGGGTCAGGGCCCTCTAATGCTAACCTGGGTGCAGTCTCTTCACACAGAGCGTGTTGGGGTCAGGGCCCTCTAATGCTAACCTGGGTGCAGTCTCTTCACACAGAGCGTGTTGGGGTCGGGGCCCTCTAATGCTAACCTGGGTGCAGTCTCTTCACACAGAGCGTGTTGGGGTCAGGGCCCTCTAATGCTAACCTGGGTGCAGTCTCTTCACACAGAGCGTGTTGGGGTCGGGGCCCTCTAATGCTAACCTGGGTGCAGTCTCTTCACACAGAGCGTGTTGGGGTCAGGGCCCTCTAATGCTAACCTGGGTGCAGTCTCTTCACACAGAGCGTGTTGGGGTCGGGGCCCTCGCTCTGGGCCCTGGTGGAGTAGATGTCCTCAGAGGAATCCAGAGAACCTGCCACAAAATCACCACTTGAACATTCTTCATTAGTTATAAAACACTTCCTTACATAAGTCTTAAGTCTCTCACATTGAACAGCTGGTTATCAGAGGGAAATGTCAGTGTTGCATCACCACAGAACAGTAGGAATGAGAAGCACACTAACCCTACCGTGAATATTAATAACAGATCTATACTGAAAAGTAAATTACAAACCTTAAATTAACAAACAAGTGTAAAGATCACAGAGTTACGGCGGACTGTGTGGGCGTGGTTATGACTGACTGCATGCATGCATGGGGTTAGGGTGGGCACACACACACAGTCAGACCCACACACACACACACAGTCAGACCCACACACACACACACAGTCAGACCCACACACACACACACAGTCAGACCCACACACACACACACAGTCAGACCCACACACACACACACAGTCAGATTAATAAATAATGAGAGGTCTGTAATTTTCATTATAGGTACACTGTGAGGTTCAACTGTGAGAGACAGAATGTGAAAAAAAAATCCAGGAATTCACATTGTAAGATTTTTAAAGAATTTATTTGTAAATTATGGAGGAAAATAAGTATTTGGTCAATAACAAAAATTAGTAGTGGTTGCTTTATCTTACCTATTGTCCTTATGTATACAGCTATTTCTGTGGATGTCTCTGACTCTAACCCAACTGTATGTTTTGCTTCGCATATGTGAATATTAGTTCATTGCTGGTAGTCTTTGTATATAAACCTGGACAGGGTTATTGTTTATTGTATTCATGTATTTTTATTTTATTCTTTAATTACAAATTTTGTTTTAGATGTCTTGAACCTTTTATTTTATTATTATTATTATTTATTATTTTAATTATTATTGTTATTGTTATTTTTATTCACTATTCTGTTATATAATCATTATTTATTTATTTAGTTATCAATTTATTATTTTGAGCTTCTCTGCCCATCACAAGGGAAAGGGGATATGGGGACCAAAAGGGGGATAAAAAGTAAAGTGTGATGCATGCCAATTAGTGCAAAATGTGAATACATTGTCAAGTACATTGTCATACTTGAATAAAAAAATTGATCCCAAAAAAATAAATAACAAAAAATTAACTCAATACTTTGTAATATAACCAAATAATAACAATATAATATTGTAATATAATGTATTAGTATAAGCCCATGTGGGCTGGGCACTTTTGTGCATGACACTTAAATAAATAAACTCAAACTCATAACCTTTGTTGGCAATAACAGAGGTCAAATGATTACTATAGGTCTTTACCAGGTTTGCACACACAGTAGCTGGTATTTTGGCCCATTCCTCCATGTTTCGGGGCTGTTGCCGAGCAACACGGACTTTCAACTCCCTCCACAGATGTTCAATGGGGTTGAGGTCTGGAGACTGGCTAGGCCACTCCAGGACTTTCAAATGCTTCTTACGGAGCCACTCCTTCGTTGCCCGGGCGGTGTGTTTGGGATCATTGTCATGCTGGAAGACCCAGCCACGTTTCATCTTCAAAGCTCTCACTGATGGAAGGAGGTTTTGGCTCAAAATCTCACGATACATGGCCCCATTCATTCTTTCCTTAACACGGATCAGTCGTCCTGTCCCCTTAGCAGAAAAACAGCCCCAAAGCATGACGTTTCCACCCCCATGCTTCACAGTAGGTATGGTGTTCTTGGGATGCAACTCAGTATTGTTCTTCCTCCAAACACGACGAGTTGAGTTTATACCAAACAGTTGTACTTTGGTTTCATCTGACCACATGACATTCTCCCAATCCTCTGCTGTATCATCCATGTGCTCTCTGGCAAACTTCAGACGGGCCTGGACATGCACTGGCTTCAGCAGGGGGACACGTCTGGCACTGCAGGATTTGATTCCCTGTCGTCGTAGTGTGTTACTGATGGTAACCTTTGTTACTTTGGTCCCAGCTCTCTGCAGGTCATTCACCAGGTCCCCCCGTGTGCTTCTGGGATTTTTGATCACCGTTCTCATGATCATTTTGACCCCACGGGATGAGATCTTGCGTGGAGCCCCAGATCGAGGGAGATTATCAGTGGTCTTGTATGTCTTCCATTTTCTGATAATTGCTCCCACAGTTGATTTGTTCACACCAAGCTGCTTGCCTATTGTAGATTCACTCTTCCCAGTCTGGTGCAGGTCTACAATTCTTTTCCTGGTGTCCTTGGACAGCTCTTTGGTCTTGGCCATAGTGGAGTTTGGAGTCTGACTGTTTGAGGCTGTGGACAGGTGTCTTTTATACAGATGAGTTCAAACAGGAGCCATTAATACAGGTAACGAGTGGAGGACAGAAGAGCTTCTTAAAGAAGAAGTTACAGGTCTGTGAGAGCCAGAGAAGTGACCAAATACTTATTTTACACCATCATTTACAAATAAATTCTTGAAAAACCCTACAATGTGAATTCCTGGCTTTTTTTTTCACATTCTGTCTCTCACAGTTGAAGTGAACCTATGATGAACATTACAGACCTCTGTCTTTATTTTAAGTGGGAGAACTTGCACAATCGGTGGCTGACTAAATACTTTTTTTGCCCCACTGCATATATCAGAATCAGAATCATTTTTATTGCCACGTAAGTAACAAAAGTTACCACTTGAAAATTGTTTTGGCAATATATACATACACACACACACATACACACAGCTCTTACCAGCTGCCAGGTTAAAGCTCTGGCCCTTGATGGTCTTCTGCACCGGGGAAAACCAGTTGAGCACAGAGGCGACGATGGGAAGCTGCCGCAGCGCCCCCTACAGACACAAACATGGTATTTACAAGCTGCCGCAGCGCCCCCTACAGACACAAACATGGTATTTACAAGCTGCCGCAGCGCCCCCTACAGACACAAACATGGTATTTACAAGCTGCCGCAGCGCCCCCTACAGACACAAACATGGTATTTACAAGCTGCCGCAGCGCCCCCTACAGACACAAACATGGTATTTACAAGCTGCCGCAGCGCCCCCTACAGACACAAACATGGCATTTACAGTCCCTTAGTACTATTAGTCTCCTAGTCCCTTAGTACTATTACTCTCCTAGTCCCTTAGTACTATTACTCTCCTAGTCCCTTAGTACTATTACTCTCCTAGTCCCTTAGTACTATTACTCTCCTAGTCCCTTAGTACTATTACTCTCCTAGTCCCTTAGTACTATTACTCTCCTAGTCCCTTAGTACTATTACTCTCCTAGTCCCTTAGTACTATTACTCTCCTAGTCCCTTAAGCATAGTTTATACTCGCGCGGCGCGGAGCTTACGGAGGTGACGTGACGTCACTTGCACAACGCGTTGGTCACAGCAAGGCCCTTACGTCGCCTGCTGCGCAGCATCGAAATGTTCTAACTACGTAAGGGTCGCCGCAAGGAATCTCCGCTGTGATTGGTCCGTGTGTGAGAGAAGCTCCGCTGTGATTGGTCCGTGTGTGAGAGAAGCTCCGCTGTGATTGGTCCGTGTGTGTGTATTGGAAGGAAGCACGGAGCGGCTGTAGCAGGAGCATGGACGAGGCACTATGGAGCAGAGAGCTTTGTGCTTCCAAGGAAAAGCAGTTTGGGCTCAGAGCCTGATATACAGGAGACTGTGGACTATCTAACATATATATAACTTATATCTAACATATATATAACTTATATCTAACATATATATAACTTATATCTAACATATATATAACTTATATCTAACATATATATAACTTATATCTAACATATATATAACTTATATCTAACATATATATAACTTATATCTAACATATATATAACTTATATCTAACATATATATAACTTATCTCTAACATATATATAACTTATATCTAACATATATATAACTTATCTCTAACATATATATAACTTATATCTAACATATATATAACTTATATCTAACATATATATAACTTATATCTAACATATATATAACTTATATCTAACATATATATAACTTATATCTAACATATATATATAACTTATATCTAACATATATATAACTTATATCTAACTTATATATAACTTATATCTAACATATATATATAACTTATATCTAACATATATATAACTTATATCTAACATATATATAACTTATAAACTGTGCAGTCGTTTGTTTTGCACTGTTCCTGTCTTTGTTTGAATCGTAGCTGCGTTTGTTGCTTTCCTCCTGCGTTTGTTGCTTTCCTCCTGCACTCGTAAATCGTTTATGTCAGATATTTACCACTATTATTGTTTTGCTGTTTGTGCTGAAAACTATTTAATAATAACTATGTTTCCAACAAGAACTGTGTCTTTATTCACAGCATCACAGTTGAAATGACTTATAAAATAATGAATCCAATGAATAATGAAAGACTTTGTAAACTGTTGGTTTTGCACTTTACTTTTGTTTTCAATAAATCTGTGATTGTATCAAGACTGTGTTTCATTCATTTATTATTATTGTAGCTGAGGTTTGGGTATCGATTGTTTGTCTGGTCTCGGAGTCTGCTGTAGTCCGGACCCGAGTCTGGACTAGCTTAGCCTAGCTTAGCCTAGCTTAGCCGCCAACTCGCTCCCCCTATGGCTGTCTCTCCCTCGGTCCTTTACTGCTGGAGTTGCCATATGATGAGTTTAAACCCTGGATCCTCCTCCGAGGGCAGTGATAGATGTGTTAAGTGTAGTATTGTAGTAGCTTTGGAATCCAGGGTTAGTGAGTGAGCTGAGTCTCGAGCTAGCGTTAGCATTAGCTATAGCCTAGCATTAGCTATAGCCTAGCATTAGCTATAGCCTAGCATTAGCTATAGCCTAGCATTAGCTATAGCCTAGCATTAGCTATAGCCTAGCAGTATCCTCGGACATGCAGCCCTCCTCCTCTGCTACACAGGCTGCTGTTGCTACAGGTCCATTCAGATTGTACAGAGCAGCACCATTGACTTCACAGTTTCTGAGTCATTCTTTTAAGACAAAAGCGTTTTAAAAACTACTCGTGCTGTGCTGAATTTTCTATTAAACACTTGCTTTGATATTATAATAAATCCATGCACTGCAGCATTACTAGTTACGCGTCACACGTAAATGACGTGGTCTGACAACGCTGAGGACATACTGGGGGAACTATTTATGATGGAAAAGCACGAGAACTGGGCCATGGCGCGCCGTGTAGAGTCAAAACATACCGTACTCGGACTGTGGAAAAGCGGTATTAGTCTCCTAGTCCCTTAGTACTATTAGTCCATTAGTGCCATTAGTCCCTTAGTACTCGGAGCTGGCATACCTCCTCCAGGAGTGTCAGTGTGAGTACTCGGAGCTGGCATACCTCCTCCAGGAGTGTCAGTGTGAGTGCTCGGAGCTGGCATACCTCCTCCAGGAGTGTCAGTGTGAGTACTCGGAGCTGGCATACCTCCTCCAGGAGTGTCAGTGTGAGTGCTCGGAGCTGGCATACCTCCTCCAGGAGTGTCAGTGTGAGTGCTCGGAGCTGGCATACCTCCTCCAGGAGTGTCAGTGTGAGTGCTCGGAGCTGGCATACCTCCTCCAGGAGTGTCAGTGTGAGTGCTCGGAGCTGGCATACCTCCTCCAGGAGTGTCAGTGTGAGTGCTCGGAGCTGGCATACCTCCTCCAGGAGTGTCAGTGTGAGTGCTCGGAGCTGGCATACCTCCTCCAGGAGCTTGTCCTCTGAGGCCCTCTGCAGCTGCTGCTCAGCCTCCAGGATCCCCTTCCTCACCACCTCCGCCATGTTGTCCAGGAGCTACACACAGAGCACCACAGAGTCACACAGAGACACACAGTCACACAGAGGAACCACAGAGTCACACAGACACACCGAGGAACCACAGAGTCACACAGAGTCACACAGAGGAACCACAGAGTCACACAGACACACCGAGGAACCACAGAGTCACACAGAGTCACACAGAGGAACCACAGAGTCACACAGACACACCGAGGAACCACAGAGTCACACAGACACACCGAGGAACCACAGAGTCACACAGAGTCACACAGAGGAACCACAGAGTCACACAGACACAGAGTCACACAGACACACCGAGGAACCACAGAGTCACACAGACACACCGAGGAACCACAGAGTCACACAGAGGAACCACAGAGTCACACAGACACAGAGTCACACAGACACACAGAGGAACCACAGAGTCACACAGACACAGAGTCACACAGACACACAGAGGAACCACAGAGTCACACAGACACAGAGTCACACAGACACACAGAGGAACCACAGAGTCACACAGACACAGAGTCACACAGACACACCGAGGAATCACAGAGTCACACAGACACAGAGTCACACCGAGGAACCACAGAGTCACACAGACACACCGAGGAACCACAGAGTCACACAGAGTCACACAGAGGAACCACAGAGTCACACAGACACAGAGTCACACAGAGGAACCACAGAGTCACACAGACACACCGAGGAACCACAGAGTCACACAGACACACCGAGGAACCACAGAGTCACACAGAGTCACACAGAGGAACCACAGAGTCACACAGACACAGAGTCACACAGAGGAACCACAGAGTCACACAGACACAGAGTCACACAGACACACCGAGGAACCACAGAGTCACACAGACACACCGAGGAACCACAGAGTCACACAGAGTCACACAGAGGAACCACAGAGTCACACAGAGTCACACAGAGGAACCACAGAGTCACACAGACACAGAGTCACACAGACACACAGAGGAACCACAGAGTCACACAGACACAGAGTCACACAGACACACAGAGGAACCACAGAGTCACACAGACACAGAGTCACACAGACACACAGAGGAACCACAGAGTCACACAGACACAGAGTCACACAGACACACCGAGGAATCACAGAGTCACACAGACACAGAGTCACACAGACACACAGAGGAACCACAGAGTCACACAGACACAGAGTCACACAGACACACAGAGGAATCACAGAGTCACACAGACACAGAGTCACACAGACACACCGAGGAATCACAGAGTCACACAGACACACCGAGGAATCACAGAGTCACACAGACACAGAGTCACACAGACACACAGAGGAATCACAGAGTCACACAGACACAGAGTCACACAGACACACCGAGGAACCACAGAGTCACACAGACACACCGAGGAATCACAGAGTCACACAGACACAGAGTCACACAGACACACCGAGGAACCACAGAGTCACACAGACACACAGAGACACACAGAGGAACCACAGAGTCACACAGACACACAGAGGAACCACAGAGTCACACAGACACAGAGTCACACAGACACACCGAGGAACCACAGAGTCACACAGACACACCGAGGAATCACAGAGTCACACAGACACAGAGTCACACAGACACACCGAGGAACCACAGAGTCACACAGACACACCGAGGAATCACAGAGTCACACAGACACAGAGTCACACAGACACACCGAGGAACCACAGAGTCACACAGACACACAGAGACACACAGAGGAACCACAGAGTCACACAGACACACAGAGGAACCACAGAGTCACACAGAGTCACACAGAGTCACACAGAGTCACACAGAGTCACACAGAGACACACAGAGTCACACAGAGACACACAAACACACACACACACACACACACACTCACTCACCCGGCCACTGTCGTCGATGTCTCTCCCCAGAACAGTGATGGTGTCCAGCAGCTGAGCCACGTCCACATCATCAGAAACCATCCCCACAAACACCCCCACATGGTCCTCTGGACCTGGGGACAGGACAGAGACCATCAACACACACAGACCATCCCCACAAACACCCCAACATGGTCCTCTGGACCTGGGGACAGGACAGAGACCATCAACACACACAGACCATCCCCACAAACACCCCCACATGGTCCTCTGGACCTGGGGACAGGACAGAGACCATCAACACACACAGACCATCCCCACAAACACCCCCACATGGTCCTCTGGACCTGGGGACAGGACAGAGACCATCAACACACACAGACCATCCCCACAAACACCCCCACATGGTCCTCTGGACCTGGGGACAGGACAGAGACCATCAACACACACAGACCATCCCCACAAACACCCCCACATGGTCCTCTGGACCTGGGGACAGGACAGAGACCATCAACACACACAGACCATCCCCACAAACACCCCCACATGGTCCTCTGGACCTGGGGACAGGACAGAGACCATCAACACACACAGACCATCCCCACAAACACCCCCACATGGTCCTCTGGACCTGGGGACAGGACAGAGACCATCAACACACACAGACCATCCCCACAAACACCCCCACATGGTCCTCTGGACCTGGGGACAGGACAGAGACCATCAACACACACAGACCATCCCCACAAACACCCCCAC